GAGAACATCTCTGAGGCAGGAGAACGTCTCTGAGGCAGGAGAACGTCTCTGAGGCAGGAGAACGTCTCTGAGCCTCTGAGAACGTCTCTGAGGCAGGATAACATCTCTGAGGCAGGAGAACGTCTCTGAGGGAGGAGAACGTCTCTGAGGGAGGAGAACATGTCTGAGGGAGGAGAACGTCTCTGAGTTTCTGAGAACGTCTCTGAGCTTCTGAGAATATCTCTGAGCTTCTGAGAACGTCTCTGAGGGAGGAGAACGTCTCTGAGCTTCTGAGAACGTCTCTGAGGGAGGAGAACGTCTCTGAGGGAGGAGAACATATCTGAGGGAGAAGGACGTCTCTGAGCTTCTTAGAACGTCTCTGAGGCAGGAGAACGTCTCTGAGCTTCTGAGAACGTCTCTGAGCTTCTGAGAACGTCTCTGAGGGAGAAGAACGTCTCTGAGGGAGGAGAACGTCTCTGAGGGAGGAGAACGTCTATGAGTTTCTGAGAACGTCTCTGAGGGAGAAGAACGTCTCTGAGGGAGGAGAACATCTATGAGGCAGGAGAACGTCTCTGAGGGAGGAGAACGTCTCTGAGGGAGGAGAACGTCTATGAGCTTCTAAGAACGTCTCTGAGGGAGGAGAATGTCTCTGAGGGAGGGGAACGTCTCTGAGGGAGGAGAACATCTATGAGGCAGGAGAACGTCTCTGAGGCAGGCGAACGTGTCTGAGGGAGGAGAACGTCTCTGAGCTTCTGAGAACGTTTCTGAGGGAGAAGAACGTCTCTGAGGGAGGGGAACGTCTCTGAGGGAGGAGAACGTCTATGAGCTTCTGAGAACGTTTCTGAGGGAGGAGAATGTCTCTGAGGGAGAAGAACGTCTCTGAGGGAGGAGAACGTCTCTGAGGGAGGAGAACATCTATGAGCTTCTGAGAACGTCTCTGAGCTTCTGAGAACGTCTCTGAGGGAGGAGAATGTCTCTGAGCTTCTGAGAATGTCTCTGAGGCAGGAGAACGTCTCTGAGCTTTTGAGAACGTCTCTGAGCTTCTGAGAACGTCTCTGAGGCAGGAGAACGTCTCTGACCTTTTGAGAATGTCTCTGAACATCTGAGAATATCTTCTACCAGCTTTTCCTGCTGTCTGAGGTTCTCCTGGTTTCTGAGGTTCTCCTGGTCTCTGAGATTCTCCTGGTCTCTGAGGTTCTCCTGGTCTCTGAGGTTCTCCTGGTCTCTGAG